GATAGCTCAATCTCGCTATTTCGTCGAGTGTCTTCATGCGTGCATCACGTCGGTCATCGTCATAAACACGGCGAACACATTAACGACGATGATCATTTGTCGGCGACGATATCCATCGATCAATTGGCGAACACATTCATTTCCCATTCATACTTCGCCACTCACCGCGTAACACCGCGATGATCCGTCTCTGAGGGGTGAGAGTATACGCGCGTATACGATCAGGAACGCACAGAAGCCGGATAAGATCTGGCGTCTGGCTGACCAACTTATGTTGACTGTCACATGTTGGCTGTCCAGTTCTCAACAGATAGCTGGACCTTTTTCCCACGCCCCTCTAATGGCGATTATATAGATTTTCTATTTGAGTGATATAGTTGTTTATATTACAAATGTCTCCGTTGCGGGTTTGTGAGTGCGGCGCTTTGACCCCGTTGCCGGAGCTTATTAAGATATTTTATCGGGGGACTACACCGGAATTACGTCGACAATTCACCGCTTATTGCACTCAGCCACAGGAAGCTTCTGCGAATGGCGCTCGTTTCAACTATACGATATAGATAGTGATCGACGAAGACTACATTACTATAATATATATCATATATATAGGTCTTAGCGCCTGATATAAATCATCGGTATTATCCTTATAGTCGTCAATGGTCCGCGACTGCGATTTCAAAGGGGCGTTCGTATAGACGCCCGAACGACGACTAATGCAGAAACAATGGTATATATTATATTATGTATACATATATATATATATATATTGTGTGTGCTGGTGATGTGTTGTGTGTGTGTGGGTTCTTGGTGTGTGTGTGTGTGTGTGGTGTGTGTGTGCGTGCGTGCGTGTGTGTGTGTGTTGTGTGTGTGTGTAGTGGTGGTGTGTGTTCCTACTCTCCTTGAATTTTGGATAAGTCCTTGAATAGAGCGACGGTGGGTTTCAATTTCATTGTTACGACACAACAGCATTTTCTTTCTTCGCTAACAAACGCATGCTGCGCGAAAGCGTTGCGCGAAACTTGGACCGCGCAGAATAAATTGTGTGCAATTCCAAAAACCAAAAATTGGGTTAAAAAAAAGCTCTGCTTAGTCGTCTGCCTATCTATTTTTATTTAAATGAACTCGAGCATTTCAGATTAATTTTACATTTGAGGTTAGGGGATCATATATATATATTATATATATATATATATGTATAGGTATATATAATATATATATATATATATATATATATATATATATAAGAGAGAGAGAGAGAGAGAGACGAGCGATGAAGAGAAGAGGAGAGCGAGAGAGAGGGAGAGATGAGCGCGAGTAAGCGGACGTATGAGAGGAGAGAGAGAGAGAGAGAGAGAGAGAGAGAAGAGAGAGAGAGAGAAGGTGAGTGAGAGCGCGCGAGAGAGAGAGAGGGAGAAAGAGAGAAGGAGAGAGAGAGAGAGAGACAGGGGGAGGGGTAAGTAAGAGAGAGAAGGGGACAGGTAAGTCTGAACACAGCATAATTATTATACTGCACATTAGGAAGTGTATAAAAAGGAAGGATTGACAATCAAATAATGCAGTGGAAGCCCGAAGAAAAGATCAAAACGAGTCATGTTCATACAATGTTCCAGACATGCACCTGCGCTGGCCTATTGCCGTTAACAATGATCACAATTCGCTTTTCAATTCGCACGATCTATTTTCGTCCGTGCGTCGAGCATTTACAATCTGGTGCCGTCGGCGGCGTCAGGAAGCCCTTCACATATCATTCATGAGTGCTTCGTTTCGATTCCCTACGCGCTACACAAGAGTTGACTCTCGTGACTTTCTGCTGACTCGTGAGTAAGCCAAAACGATGGAAATTCTTTCTCACGAAACATATCAGGACTCGAAAAAAAATTAATGAAAGAATTATACGAAACTTACCTCGACTCGATTAAAAAAAAAGTTAAATGAAAGAATTATACAAAACTCACCTCGACTCTAAACGTATCGTCTCTCCACACAACTCGACGCCGGTGCCCGTATACGGAGCCAAGAACCCGCGTGGCGGTGGGAACTGGGTTGTACGGCTCTGACTCTCACTCTGTCGCTTCCTGCTCTCGCGTTTTAACTTTTTTTTAGTTTCTCTCGAGCTCGGACAGGGGAAAAAACCCAGGCAGTCCTTCCTCGACAGCCGTATATGTGCTCAATACGGGCGCGACACGTTTAACACGACGTTCGCACGCTGACAATAACGATAATACACGGGATATATATATATGCGTGTATATATGATATAAGGTTCTGCTTGATGAATGGCCGCACCGCTGGCGGTAGGCGCGACGTCTCAGTCGGTGGGGTAGAACACGTCGGTATGTATGTACGCGAGTGTCTCTCTCTCCGGTGTAGGTTGACAGACGCCAGAGACGCGCGAGCACGCGCCTAATATCCCCCGCGCTGGCAGCCGACGTCGTCGGCGGCACTGCGCATGCGCGGCGCGGGGAAGCCGGTGCGGCTCGGCGGGGAAGTCCGTCGTCAGCTGCGGGAGTAGAGCACGAGAGAAAATTAATGAGAGCTCATTAGCACTAATGAAGGGGAAGTGGTGTTCGTCTCTAATCTTGTGCGCGTGCGTACATGCATACGCGTGTGTGCGTGTTTGTGCGCGCGCGTGGGTCATCATGTCACCACACCACTGATATTATCAGAAGCGTCATCGCCACCCAATATAGATAGCTCAATCTCGCTATTTCGTCGCATGTCTTCATGCGTCATCACGTCGGTCATCGTCATGAACACGGCGAACACATTAACGACGATGATCATTGTCGGCGACGATATCGATCGCATCAATGGCGAACACATTCATTTCCATTCATATTCGCCACTCACCCGCGTAACACCGCGATGATCGTCTCTGAGGGGTGAGAGTATACGCGCGTATACGATCAGGACACGCACAGAAGCCGGATAGATCTGTGTGACCAACTATGTGACTGGTCACATGTTGGTGTCAGTTCTAACAGTAGCTGGACCTTTTTCCCACGCCCCTCTAATGCGATTATATAGATTTTCTATTTGAGTGTATAGTTGTTTATATATACAAATGTCTCCGTTGCGGCTTGTGAGTGCGGCGGCTTTGACCCCGTGCCGGAGCTATTAAGATATTTACGGGGACTACACGGGAATTACGTCGACAATCACCGCTATGCACTCAGCCACAGGAAGCTTTGGAATGGCGCTCGTTTCAACTATACGTATAGATAGTGATCGACGAAGATTACATATATATATATATCATATATATAGGTCTAGGCCTATATAATCATCGTATATCCTATAGTCGTCATGTCACGCGACTGCTATTCAAAGGCGTTCGTATAGACGCCCGAACGACGACTAATGCAGAACAATGGTATATATATATATGTATACATATATATATATATATATATATATATATATATATATATATATATATATATATATATATATATAAACGTAATTTCGTATTAGAGTTTTACGAAATGGCAAATAATTTTGAAGATAATGTTATTTTCAATTACAATGTCGCCATTATTATGATAGACGGAATTTCTCGAAGAAATAATCATAGATAGTGAGTTTTACTCCCATTTTTCTTTCGCATGCGCCGAGATCGATCCAAAATTCATTAAAACCTTCTCAAGTAGACTCAAGCGCACATCATGAATACGCGATGACACATTCCACTCTTTGCCATCAGAACAGCCGAATAGCACTATCAAATTTAGACCAAGCGGCCCGTATTCCTAACGCACAGTAGGCGTTGATGGATTTTACAGCTGTGTGCATCACGTATAACGTCTGTAAATCGTGAGGAAAGGGCTTGTATACCGATTAAATAGCTCGCGTGCGCGCGGCCCGATGTGTGTGATCTGGTGCTAATTACAACGTCAGGCTCCGTTAAAACTTTCTAGTCGGAGCGGATAACTAGCTTCCTCAGTATCCTGTAGAAGTGACGCTGTTAAAATCTCATAGAGTGACGGCTATGTTGTAACGAAGATGATGTCCTGCTATTATTGAGAAATGCTTTCTCGTGCGAGCTTTTACGCTGTCTCTTGCCGCTCGCTTTCTTTTCTTCCTCATACCCACCCACGCTCACACACACGCACACTCAAACGTACATCTAACGCACGTACACACGCACACACTCACACACGCACACACACAGACACACACACGCACACGCACACGTACATCTAACGCACGTACACACGCACACACTCACACACGCACACACACAGACACACACACGCACACGCACACGTACATCTAACGCACGTACA